CCCCCTAACCTGAGAAATACAGACGAAACACCTTAAAGTAGTATGAATAAACTCTATTTGAGTTGTTCAGTGTAACGAGGAAAAATAAATTCAAAAAGACAAAAAAAAATTATTCATCATTGATAATTTTTTTCATGAATTCTAACTTTGAGGAGTGAAAAAATTAATTCATTGAATTCTTCCTTCAATCATTTTTTTAAACAATAGGTTCTCGTTTGGTTAGGTTCTTCCGATATATCGTGCCTTACCGGGCACGCAGAAACATAAATTATTCATGAGAAAAGTTTTACATCGGCAATTATTTGTAAAAAAAAATTTTCTTCTCGTATACCCTTTCGGGTCTTTACGATTTGTTCCCTCCCCCCCCCCNGTACCGCATTCGCGAAAGGACAAGGGAAAACCTCATTTTGAGGGAAAAACCTGCCCAGGTACAGTCGTCTTTTGCGAGACTCCCGCTCGACAATGAAACCGTGAGATTTAGAGTGTCACAAATTTTGGCCCCCCCAGCTGGAATCGAACCCGGGTCTCCCGCATTCCAATTCCACACTCTAACCACGCAGCCACCGCCGTCAGTCAATTATTTGTATATTATACAATTTTTATCCATTTTTAATGATTTGTCGAGATTTTTCTGGATTTTGATCTTTTCAGTATAGTATTATTAATAATACTAAAGGAGAGGGTGGGGTAAAATGGGCACTTTAGACTTTTTTAAAATTATTCATAACTCACAACCAAATTTATCAATGGAGCTCAATTTAGGCTCGTCACAAAGGGAAAGAGGTGTTCTTTGTATTAAAAAAAAATATATTGAATTTCATCAATATTTCAACCCCTCACTAACATTTGAAAAAAAGTTAAAAGTGTCCGTTTTAGCCGACCTCCCCTACTACCGCTGGAGCACCAATTCAACCAGAATGTTTCTATTTCTGTTGACTTTTGTATAGAATTCATTAAACTTTTAATCTAAAAAATTAAATTTTCTAATCCAATTTACGTTTAGACTACTTTAAACTCTATTATTCTTTTGCGACTGTAGAACACTCTCCAGTGGCTTCCCTGGATTTGGCATCAGACAACGTGGTTCAGTTTTAAACTCCTACAGGGTTGTGACTACGTTGGAGAAGCCTTGGCAGATTTCTTCGGAATAACATCTCCAAAATACCAGTTTGCAATCAATGAATATCACAGGCAGCAGAGAATTCTTATTGCAGAGAGCGAAAAAGAGCAGTTACAGATGGGCGGGTGGACCGTGCAACAAGGGCACGATCTCATCAACATCAGCCAGCCTGCAACGAAACTATAATATTGATTCAAAAAATCCCTTAACTCCAACAATCCCTTAAGAAAAAGTATGTAACGTTTTTTGTCCCCATTTTTTACGGCATAACAACGATCATGATGCAATATGCAGAGGCCATGAGAAATTAACTTTCGGAATATAGGGCTTTCCATACTATTTCGATCAAATCAAAAGACTTTTTCCAAATTTCGAGAAAAATTTAATATATTATCGATTTATTTCATCATTCTTTGAGTGGTTATTGAAAAAAAAATTTTTTTTGGTTATGCGACATGAAAATTTTCAAGTTGGGCCAGGTGAGTCATTTTTTTTTTAATTATAACTCGATAAATATCAATGTGATTAAGGGAGTGCAAGAGAACTTTTTTGTCAAAACAGGTGTAAATTACGGGGGAAAAAAGAAAAGTGGAATGTACATACAATGAATTAATTGATAAACAAATTAAAAATTCAACAACAAACTATCAGGGCAAGATGCGAAAAATTTGAAAACAATATATGGGACATTCCATGTCAACTCAGCCACACCGGATTTTTTTGTCTGGGAAAAATCATTGAGCAGATGCATTTTGAACTTCTACATATAGACAGTGATCATGCAAAATCTCATTGCCCTGCCACTTTTTGTTTCTGAGATAATTATTATGAAACTTGAAATTTGGAAAAAATCATTACTTCTGAATGAAGCATCCGATTTTGATAAATAAAAAAAGAAAATTTTCTTTTTTTCTCGTACTTCAAGATAAAAAATACTTCAGAGCCGTCAAGAAGCTCCTAGACGGGTTTTTCGAGAATTTTTCGCGTTTTCATTTTTTTTCACTCTAGGGCCGCTCGATGTTCGATCGAAATATTTTTTTTATGATAGAGGATGTCCTCAGATGATATGAAAAAAATACGCCATAATGGAAGAGCGAAGCAATGCGCCGGAAATTTTTTTTTTTCGAAATTTTTGGGTTTTTCAGTTTTTAGGGGAGATCCATCGGTTTTTTTTAAAGAAATGAGTCTGTCAAGCATTATTCTTCGTTCATATACGATGACATAAGACTACACCATCATGTAACGGAGAAAGAGTGCGCCGGAAAAAAAATTTTTCGTCGAAATTTTTACTGGAAGGGTAGATAGTTGAATTGAACATTATCATCATCGGAAGTTTGCTAAATTATGATCAAACAAATGAGAGGAAGAAACAAACGGAATCAATCAATTGATTTATCATCATCAGTCGGTTCCAAGGCTTTAATTCTAGGAAAAACCTCAATTTCTCGATCGATTTTTTATCACCGTACGATTCTGTGTGGATGGATTACCGAGCTCCTATCTTATTCTATTCTTGCAACGAGGTAAGAAATTTTCACGTTGATTATATAGAAATGATCTTTATTATCGGAATTGATACCTTCGGATTTCATAGAATGCCGCGGAGTGATAGATATGCGAATCCAATGCGGGCTCCTGGTGAGAAGGGATACGTCGGTTATAATTTACGTCCGATTTCCTTGAAACTACACGAGAAATTTCCTTTTTTACCATTGTCTGCGAAAATCTGTGGTCAATGCCGAACGAGAACTCCAACTTATGTCATTCCTCCATCTGTCCCCACGGTTAAACTTAATGCTACACATCTTCAGCGTTCGGAAACTCCACCCGATATATCAATGCTCCAAGCCGAAACATGTGACCCAAGTCTGGATGTGATGAACAGTGCTCTGAGATCAGGATCTTCTTGACGGCTCTGAAGTATTTTTTATCTTGAAGTACGAGAAAAAACGAAAATTCTTTTTTTATTTATCAAAATCGGATGCTCCATTCAGAAGTAATGATTTTTTCCGAATTTTAAGTTTCGTAATGATTATCTCATAAACAAAAAGTGGCAGGGCAATGAAATTTTGCATGATCACTGGCTATATGTAGTAGTTCAAAATGCACCTACTCAATGATTTTTCCCAGACAAAAAAAAAATCCGGTGTGGCTGAGTTGACATGGAATGTCCCATATGCCATAGAGTAGATGTCGAAGAATTGCCGATACCATTGGCGTTCTCTAATCTCCAGTAGTTCCAGAGATATTGAGTTTTTATGCAGCTACGCCCATCTCATCGTTTCCTTTGATACACGCCAAATTAGGGAAACGTGCTGAGTGAATCATAGGGTAAACAGGTCAATTTCTGCACGGGGGTTAGATTCTGGCCGATTTGAACCAGCATTGAATATTTCATAAATAAAATCAAAATTGTACTGATTATTTCATCTTTCAATAATATTAGATGTGTATAATCATGTGATCAATTTTTTTTTCTATTGACCGACATTTAATAAATAAAAAACAATATCGCCCAGTCGTCCAGAAATTAAGGGTTTTGGTTGCATTCTTACTATTTAATTTAATTACATGATTTTTCATGATTTTATCGACCATGATATACAGGGTGTCCGGCAATCAATCACTTTCCTCGGAAGGTATTGTAGAGGATGAAATTTGGAATCGAACGTTCCCCTTCGGTTTTTCGATCAGACCATTTTTTTTTTGGTTTTTCATTTTTTAACTTTGTTTGACTTTTTATTTTTAAACATTCTGTTATTACGTATTCCAGGGCCGAAAAATATTTTTTTAAAGGGTTCATATTTTTTGGAAAAAAGCGTTTTTTTATGTAGTACATCGATACGTAGCCACCACACCCCTTCCAGCCCATTAGCACCGCGAATTAATTTGCAAAAAGATAAAATCACGAAACCGAAGAATTTTCTTTCCTTTATTTTTGGGTTTTTCTCATGACTACGATTAGGTCTATTAATTGGGGTCCCTCGCGACCCTAATCATTTTCGATGAAGAAAAGGAATTATGCAATAAATTATTATTTTCTTTAGTTTTTCGTCAGGAAATCCTTTTCATGTGCTTTATTAAGCCTCTCACCCATCTATCATTTTCAGAATCATTTTCGAAAACAGGAATGGTAAAAACGAAACCCTAATTTTTTTTTTCTTCAGCTTTTGGAACAGGTTTTGGAAGCGTGGGGATAAAATGGGGAGTTTGTGAGTTGATGGGAGGATAGATGGATAACGCTTCTGATTACCGACATGGAAAAAAATGAAAAACAAAGAAAAAATAATTTTAATGGTAATTTCCTTTTGGCTTTTGGGAATGATTTTGGAAGCGCAGCGATAAAGATGGGGAGTNAGCTTTTGGAACAGGTTTTGGAAGCGTGGGGATAAAATGGGGAGTTTGTGAGTTGATGGGAGGATAGATGGATAACGCTTCTGATTACCGACATGGAAAAAAATGAAAAACAAAGAAAAAANGGAGAGTCAAGTATCACGAGGGTCACTTGAGGGAAGAGTGAAGCGTCACGAGGGTCACTTGGGGGTGAGTCAAGGGTCATGAGGGTCACTTGGGGAAGAATCGAGGGTCACTTGGGGGAGTCAAGCATCATGAGGGTCACTTGGGGGAGAGTCAAGTGTCACGAGGGTCACTTGAGGGAAGAGTGAAGCGTCACGAGGGTCACTTGGGGGTGAGTCGAGGGTCATGAGGGTCACTTGGGGGAGAATCGAGGGTCACTTGGGGGAGTTTGTGAGTCGATGGGAGGGTAGATGGATGACGTGTCTGATTACCGACATAAAAAAAAGCGAAAAACGAAGAAAAAAAAATTGTAATTTTGATTTCTTTTTTCGCTTTTGGTAATGATTTTGAACGCGTGGAGATAATGATGGGGAATTTCTTAGTCGTTGAGGAGATGGATGAATGACGTGTCTGATTACCAACATGAAAAAAAAAGCGGAAAACAAAGAAATTAATTGCAAATTTAATTTCTTTTTTCGCTTTCGGAAATGATTTTGGAAGATAGTCCATACAGACTATCCACTCCAGAAGATTTTATAGTTGGATTATATGTTTTTGAAGTTGCTGATTCCGAATATGAAGTCCGTTTTTGCCAAAGCAGGTGCCTTCTATTTGTTCATAATTTAATTGTTTAAAAGGAGATATTGCAAAAATTGTCGGAGATACAAAAGAAGTTGACGAACAAAAATTGTTCATCATTTTACAATACGAATTTTTTGTCGTATTACTTTTTTCGATAACTACTACGGATGAAAAGATATTTGAGGCAAGAGTGGAACGAGCGGTACGTTAGCGCGGGTGCACAGCGCGAGCGCACTCCAATGCGTTTTGTCGAAAACTCGAAGAAGATAGAAAAAATTGTTTCAAATAAAAAAGATTTGTCATGAAATGTTGCATCAGATAAGTTTTGTGACATTTTTTGCTACTCATAATAGTTTATGAAATATTTACATTTTCGCGTTGCATAACGGGGAAAATTGATGATCCGGTCAACTTTCAACTGCAATCATCTCATAAACTATTGTGATTAGGGGAATTAGTTTATCTACAAAATTTATGCATCATCAAACGAAGAACATTTTTTGTATGAATTTGTTTTCTCTATCTCTTTTTATTCGCGAAATATTTACAGTGAAAGTTGGAAATGAGACCGGTTACGTCCATACGCTAATGTCATTCTGTGTCCCCTGATATGTCAAGAAGATTTTATTGTTGATTATTGTTGGCGTTTGTAAGTTGCTGGATTGATGACAGGCTTGGTAACCAAAGAGGAAAAAATTAGAGCAACAATATTTTGTTGTGCTACGTTTCATTTTTGATGGCCCTGAAAAGGGCCGATTGTGATGTTGTTTATGCTGGGAGTTGCTGGAAATGGCCTCCTCCAGCAGCCACGCAGGCATGAATCATCCGGAGGACGTCCACCCTCACACGTTGGAGCATCTCAGCACTGACATTGGTTGCGGCCGCATGCAATCGCGCCACCAGTTCCTCCGCGGTCTCTGGCTCTGTCTCGTAGACTTGTTCCTTTAGATAGCCCCAAAGGAAAAAGTCTAGCGGAGTCAAGTCCGGNTTTAGGTAGCCCCAAAGGAAAAAGTCTAACGGAGTCAAGTCCGGGGATCTAATAAGGATAGAAATTCATAATTTTCCGGAACACTTTATTTTTCTCGAGTAGGCTTACCGTGCAGGCCAGTGGAGCGGGCCATAACGACCGAACCA